GAAAATGTAACGTGGTGTGTGGATATGGATGTGGATATATACAAGAGTATCATTTAGTCATAAAAAAAAAAGAAATCTTGCCACTTGTAATATGGATGGACCCTGAGGACATTTTGCTAAGTGTAATAAGACAAATACTGTATGCTCTCACTTTGGGTGGGATTTAATAGGTAGAGTCTTAAAAAAAAAAAAAACTCATAGAAACAGCAGATTGGTGGTTGCTGGAAGTGGGGGTGGGGTGACGGTGACCAAAAGCTTCAAACTTCGAGTTATAAGATAAATAAGTTGTGGGGATGTAATGTATAGCATGGTGACTATAGTTTACAATTTGTATGTTTGAAAGTTGCTATGAGAGTAGGTTTTAAAAGTTCTCATCACATAAAAATTTTTAACTATATTAAGATGATGGTTAACTCACCTTACTGTGCTGTGGTAGTCACTTTGCAATATATACACATATAAAAAAAGCACTATGTTGTATACCTTATATACTTATACAATGTTACATGTCAGTTACATCTCAAAGAAGCTGGGAAAATAAACAACATTCTATTTTTTCTACTTCTTCCATGTAACATGTTTGACTACCTTGTTTCTCCTTTTCTTTAGTCCATTTCAATAACCAAATGCAGTGGAAATTGCTTTTCCTTTACCAAAGAAATCTGTATGTATTATATATAATATTATCCTATCTTTGCCTTGCCAAATAAACTTACATTATGGAGCCTTTAAAAAATAACAATTGGTGGGATCCCTGGGTGGCGCAGCGGTTTGGCGCCTGCCTTTGGCCCAGGGCGCGATCCTGGAGACCCGGGATCGAATCCCACGTTGGGCTCCCGGTGCATGGAGCCTGCTTCTCCCTCTGCCTGTGTCTCTGCCTCTCTTTCTCTCTCTCTCTCGCTGTGACTATCATAAAAAAAAAAAAAAAAAAAAAAAACCACAATTGGTGAAATTATCTATTTTTGTACATTTATCTGTATGTTCTTTTCTGCATATGCAGTATATCCCATGACAAAAATAGTTTAAAAACTTAATTTAAAAAATGCATTAGGGGCAGCCCCGGTGCATAAACTCAGAGGTTTAGCGCCGCCTTCAGCCCAGGACCTGACCCTGGAGGCCTGGGATCGAGTCCCACATGGGGCTCCCTGCATGGAGCCTGCTTCTCCCTCTGCCTGTCTCTGCCTCTCTCTCTCTCTGTCTGTTATGAGTAAATAAAATCTTTTAAAAAAATGCATTAGTGATTGGTACACCAATATCTTTGAGGAACTCTGTGGTGGCTGTCCTGTGTAAGAATAGAGAATAATGTGACCTCACTATCATAAATGCCAAAAAGATATGGCCAACTAGTGTGTAACTGCTTGAGATTGTAGGCACATTTACCACAACAAACCACAGTATGGTAATTGGAGTTTTGACCTACAAGAATTTGGGACAAGTTAATGGACTATTAGAATCTCTAGAAATGACATAGATACTAAGCAGCCTACTAAGGTTCTGTTTATTAATGTGCATTTGAGGACAAATGCGAGGACTGAGGAAATGGAGTCACAGTGGACGAAGATTCACAGCTTCTCACCCAGTTCCCAGACCTAATTCAAGTCACACATGGAATCTCTTATTCAAGGGGATCCCAGGGTCCTCTGAGGAGTGACTCTGACAAAACTCAGGTATGTAGCATAAATCTTCCGCAAGCCTTTCCCGTGAGACCCATTTTCCAAAGAAACAGTGTACTAGTGAAAGGGAAATACCCACAGAGCTTCAAGAGTTATCAGATATTAGCTCTGACATCTGAATACCAGAGTTGTCCACCAGTTGAGTCAGGGCTTATTATGGCAAATGACAGATGGAGCTCGGATCTAAGTCCATTTAATGGTGGGTCCAATGAGACCACAGATCCATTTTAAGGTATAAGCATACTTAGGGTGCTTGGGGCTCAGTTGGTAAGCATCTGACCCTTCATCTCAGCTCAGGTCTTGATCTCTTGGTCATGAGTTCAAGCCACACTGGGTTCCACACTGGGTGTAGAGCCTACCTTAAAAAAAAAATGGGTACAAGAATACCTCTGAGATATTGCAGGTTGAGTTCCAGAACACAGCAATAAAACGAATAGCATAATAAAGCAAATTTAAAGAATTTTTTGGTTTCCTTGTACATATGTTATATTTACACTATAGTATAGTCTATTAGGTGTCTAATGGTATTATATATAAAAATATATATACCTTAATTGAAAATATTTTGTTAAAAATGCTAACCATCTTCTGAGTTTTCAGCAAGTTGTAATCATTGATCACTGATTACTGTACCAAATATAATAATGACAAAGTTCGAAATATTGTGAGAATTGCCAAAATGTGACACAGAGACACAAAGTGAGCAAACACTGTTGGAAAAATGGCGCTGACAGACTTACTTGCCACAGGCTGGCCACAAGCCTTCAACTTGTGTGTATGTGTGTGTGTATATATATATATATACATATATATATATATATGTATATATATATATATCTATGATGCCTCCTTGAGCATCTGCTTTCAGCTCATGATCAGGGGTCTAGGAATTGAGTCCCCATTGGGCTTCCTGCAGTGAGCCTGCTCCTCCCTCTACCTGTGTCTCTGCCTCTCTCTGTGGGTCTCTTATGAACGGATAAATATTAAAAACAATAAACAAAAAACTCCACAAAAAAGCAAAAACAAAGACCTCACAATTTGCAAAGTGCAATTAATATTGGTCATGCTTGTAATTTCCTCAGTCCCAAAAGGAAAGAGAAAACATTTACTACCTGGCAAAATTCCCATATTGGCAACCTGACCCATGGAATAAGGGTGATTATGAAGGATGGGCCAAACAAAAGTCCCTGGAACTATCTCCAAGATAGAAGCTCAAAAGAAAAAGAAGAAGAAGAAAAAAAAAAACAATACCATACTCTGGCAGGATCTATAGATTGGTCCTGCCATCAAACTTGAGTTATACCAGGGGTGAGCGATTTCTTCCTCATTCCATTTACTCACCATCTTGAATCTTAGAAATTAATAGTTGTTTATTGCAAATGCAATCAAATGGTAATGCCAACCTGTGGTTTCAGATGTGGTATCTTTGTGGGATCAAAGCAACACAGTCCATGACCAACACGTAAAAAAAAGATACACAATTTGGTGGGATTCTTCATCTTGAAGGCAATAGGTACAGTATTTGGAAGTGCTGCTCCATGTAGGTGACCTATAAGGCAGTTTGCTTTAAGTGAGACCCAGACAAGAAATGTTTCTCAGCAGCCTAGGCTGTGTGCACTGTCCTGTCACCAGGCCTTAGGATTTAGCCAATAAAATGCTATTAGAGTGTCTGTGGTACACAGAAATGGAGTCTCCGAGAACTCCAAGTACGAGAATTATACCCCCAAGTTCTAGGATTTTAGAAAAAGACCTAAAAAAATAAAAAATAAAAAAAAAAATAATAATAAAAAGACCAAAGTATTCTCCATCTGAAAAGCAACTCCTAGCTTGATCCTGGGCATTGGCACAAACTAAGTTGCAGGACACCAAATGACTTTAGACTCTATCTGTTGTGAGATCCATATTGTTTGACCCAATGAACTATAAAATTGGATGTTCAGTGGCATTCCACCGCATAATGGCAGTAGACTAAAGGAGTCCAGGTATTTAACGGAAATGGTATAAGGTGTCCCCGATGTCTGTGGCACCTCTCCTATCACTGTTGGCTTCCTGCCAACCCACACCTACAGCATCCACAGAACCTGGAAGTGTAAGGGGAAAAGCCCCATCCTAGTGTCTGCTGGATGCTATGGAGCCTCTGCCCTGCTGATCCACTCACTCTGGTGCCCCCCAAAGACAGTGATGAAGAACCACCATTTCAGAGGGCATCTCAGGTTGGGAGGCCTCACGTATAAGCGGCAGGTGTCTGGAAGTCATTCTCTTCCTCCTTCACACATTCCACCTGATGTCCTTAGTTATTTAGTCACAGCTCTTCAGTGACAGATATGTCTTCTTTCTATGATCGTACCCATTTCAGAATAGACAAATGACTATATAGGAGTTTGTTTTTTTGTTTTTAATTCAGAAAGAGAGAGAAAGGGAAGAAAATAAAAAAAAAAACATTTGTTTAAATAACTATTGCAGAAAAGGAGATCTGGGCTGGATGCTGGAACCTACCTCTTCCAGAAAGGGGATTTATTAATGTTTTAAACAAAACAAAACAAAAAGAAGAAAAAGGAACAAAAAAGAAATAAATTATTCTGCTCAATACTGTTTGGCATAATTGCATTGTTTTTTTTCATTTTCCGAACACTCCAAACAGCCTCTTCAGGAAGCACTGAGAGGAGACTGGCAAGAATGGCTGGTGCCTTGACTCTCTAAAATGGTGGGGGAAGCCCTGAGAGAGGCATTCCAGGATAGGCCCCCCCAAATCCACCCCCACTCGTTGCTCCTCCTACTTTTGGAATTGGGAAAGGAACTAAGACTTAGACTTAAGCTAAGTTCTCAATATATTAACTTTAGGGGTGCCCACTGCCCTGCTCCAACCCTCCTCTAATATACTCCCCTGCTGGTTACTATTCCCCCAGCCAGCTGCAGGAATTACCCCAATGGCCAGGAGGCTGCTTGGTGGTATCAACTAAGATAAAGGGTGGTGTTTGTGTTCCTCATTGTTGGGAAGGGGGATCCTATTAGTGGTTTGGAAGCTTCACAGAAGCGCTTTCCCCCTCCGAAACTTCCCCAACCTTGAAGGGTGAGAATATCCTCAGCAGCTTCCTCTAGGGACTTAAGCTGGGTTCAGTCTTGGAAGTAACTTCCAGGTGTAACTCCTGTTTGTAAGCATCCCTGCCCTTCTAGAGCTGAAAATGGAAAATGGGTTGGAGAGAGGAGGCAGGAAGTGAGCGTGGCAGAGGGAGGGGACGCAGGGGCAGGAGAGGAGACATGCAAGGCGGGCAAGTCAGTCGACTCCTCCCCAGCTAGGATCCCAGCAATTTGCATGGCCAGCCTGGAATTTTAAAAGAATCTTTGTTGGTCAGCCATCCCTGGTAACCTCAAGTTAACTAAATTAGGAGACCAAAGCAAATTCCACCCCCAAGCAAGAGGTTTCCTACTCCTCTTTGGGGTGATGGGCGGAGGAAAAAGGTGCATGCACCAGGCAGCTGGGCTCCCCATCTCCAGCCTGCCTTCCTCTCCCTAGAGCCGGCTAAAGACGAGCGAGGAGGGGTAGGGGGTTGGAGAAGCCAGCAGTGCCCCACCCCCCACCCCCAATCCCAGGACGAGCAGGCTGGTGAGGAGGCCCAGGGCTTAAGAAGGGACACTAAAAAAGTTGTGGGCGAACAGTAAGGGGCCGCGAGAGTACACGAGAGTGAGAAGCACCTTACATCTGAAGTGACGGGGCTTCCGGGTCCCCTGCCCTGTTCCTCACCCCTGCGCTCGAGTTAGGCCATCGGCGAACTCCGAGCCCTAGCAACGGGCGAATACAGTTCTAGTTTCCAGGTGGGATGCTCAATGCCCTGGTCAGGAAGGCCATTCCATAGGGTGGCCAAAGGTGGGGATGGGGACAAGGGAGGACGAGGGGACCCACGCTCCACTGCCTTTCTTTGGTGGGTTTACACTCACCCATCTGGGCCCGAAAGATAAAGGAAATACGCGGCCTAGCGTGCTCTGAGGCCTGAAAAGGTTTGAGAGGGATCTAGCTCTTCCCGGGGATGAAAGCGCGCTCCCCGGGAACCACCCGATTCCCCCCGGACCTCCAGAAGCGAGAGGCCAACGCCCCCCCCCCCCGCCCCGAGGTCGCGAGGGGCCCCCGGCGAAGGGAGGCCCAGCCGCTGCTGCCCCGCACCTTCCCCCCCGCTTCCTCCTCGGTGCCCCTGGCCGAGTACCGCCGACAGGCCACCGACACTCCTCCCGCAGAGCCTGAGGAAAGTACTCCACTGAGGCCGGAACCAACCACTACTCCTTAAAAAGCATAAAACAAAATCCTACCCAAAGCATAGGGGAGTGGGGATTCAGCGGCGGCCGGCCCGCCTCCGAAGGCCATTGATTGGAGGAGACCGGGCCCAGCGCCGGAAGTTCTCCTTGAGTCGCATGATTGGCTGGGAGAAAGAGCCTCCGCTCCCACTGCAGCGCTGATTGGGTGCCAGGCCTGGGCCAGCCCCCAAAGTCTCCTGATTGGCGGGGGACAGCCGGCGCTCGCTGGACTTGCAGCATGATTGGTCCAGACCGCGACTTGGCGTCGCTCCCAAGGGCTGGAGACGCCCAACCGGGCGCCGCGCCCTCGCCAAGGCCGCCGCCCTCGGGCTGGCCGGGAGTCCCGGCTGCGGAGCGAGCGTCGCAGCCTCGCGGCTGGGCCGAAGGGTCGCGGCGAGGCCGGGCTCAGTTGCCTCGGTAGACCTCGATCTTGCTGGCCTTGGCCAGCAAGTCGATGATGTGGGCCTCGAAGTCGGCGTCGTGCACTCCCGTCTTCCGGAACTCGCCCGCATACCGGTTATTCTCCCAGTAGTGGTGCCAGTTGCCCCGGCTGTCGGCCCCGAACCCGTACACGTTCACCTGCAGGGGAGGGCGGCGCAGGTCACCCCGCGTCGGGGGTCGGGGGCCGGGGCGCGGAAGAGCCTCGGGTCCTTGGCAGGCTGGGACACGGCGGCCGCGGCGACCCGACGGCAGCCAGTTCGCAGAGGCACCGGGGAGGCGGGGCACCCAGGCCTGGAGCTGCGCACGCTGCCCGGGGAAGGCCGCTGCTGCCTGTGGTTTCGTCCGCCCGCCTCCCCGCAGCCCAGACGCCTCAGTCCGGCTAGGACAGCTCCCCAACCCTTGCTAACATTCCTTTCGGTTTTTGTCTTGTTGCTGTCGTTTGCAATGCAGTACTTTGACAGGAAAGCTGGTCAAGTACCCAGGACCACACTGAAGTGGGTGTGCTGGGCGTGAGCACTACCGAGCGTGCACAGCAGCCCCGCTGGCTAGCGACATGCGGCTCCTGAACCACTGGCCTCCAGCGTTACACCCACAGCCGGCCCGGGGCCCACAGCTGTGGGAGAGGACCATCCCCTGGAACTGAACTACATTGCTTGCTTTCTATTTATACTTTTGGTTATTTTTTTTTCTTTATGGCATGTAATAACCCATTATGGTGGTGGTAGTCTATTTCCTTTTTAAGTAAATTTAACTTTTCACTGAAGTGATTTAAGATTTGGTAAAATCACCAACGTCGTGAGTTTGGGAAATGAAGATGTATACTTGACAACCTAGAAATGGGGGAAATCAGAGCCACTTGATATCTGCCTACAAAGCCACATTCCTCTTGCTCTCTTAAGCCCTATGAAGGACTGACTCCCTCTGATCTGTGGGTGTCCCTTTTGTACCCCTAACACTGGGCGACCCACCTCATCACAAACATGCAGGGCAAAGAAGAGCACCAGCATCCCTGTGGAAGGGTACCGCCCGTGATGCTCTGTCCACCGGTCGTGGATGTACTTGAAGAATGCCGGGTTGTAGATCTGAACCTGGCAGGAGAAAAGGTAACAGACCCATGAGGAGCTTTGGGGGCCTGGAGACTCAGGTCAGGTGTTCCTCCAAGCTTGCCAGCAGACCTGTTCTTCCATGTTCCCTGGTTCCTGTGGCCTCTGAGGGGGTCAGGCATGCCAGCAGATGTGGGGGACTCAGGGGTCTGGAAGGGCACTGGGGGACACCTGAGCCACTGGACCAGACACACCATAAGTCAAGTCTGCACAGTTTCCTCCAATGAAATGGGGATGAAGAAGGGAAAGGAGGAGGGAGCTTACCTTTTCTTTGTCCACTCGAAGGAAGGACTTCACTGGCGCATAGGTGCTGTAAGCAGAAAGATAAATAACATTTAGATGGCTCTTGGGATCTAGAAAGGCCCAGAGATGCCTTTCTTCTCTCTCAGGTCTGAGTGATGTCAGCCTTAATACAGATGCCTTGCTTCCAGACTGCTTCCCCATAACACATCACTGCAGTACCTTGCTCAGAAACCTTCAGAGGCTACCCTTGTCCTTCAGGATAAAATAGAATGTTTTAGACAAACACTGGGGCCTTCTATTATCCAACCTCAACTTTGCTTTCCACAATACTCAGCTGTGAACTCTCCTCTTGATTTAGCCAATTATCTCATACCTACCATGTCTATGTCTTAGTTCTGCCCACAATGACCCTCTCACTACTATCCTCACATTTGGCACAAATCCCTCCTTCCTATTAATTAGCCCTTATGTCTCCCAAATATAAGATAAAGTCAGAAAACCATAACTTTGTGTTTAAAAAAAATATGTGGCAGGACACCTGGGTGGCTCAGCTGTTGATCAACCGGCCTGGGCTCCAGTCATGATCCCAGGGTCCTGGAATCCAGCCCCACATCAGGTTCTGTGTTCAATAGGGAGTCTGCTTGTCTCTCCTTCTCCCTCTCCCCTTCCCCATCATGTTTTCTCTGTCTCAATTATTTTTTTTTATTTTAATTTATGATAGTCACAGAGACAGAGAGGCAGAGACACAGGCAGAGGGAGAAGCAGGCTCCATGCATTGGGAGCCCGACGTGGGATTCGATCCCGGGTCTCCAGGATTGCGCCCTGGGCCAAAGGCAGGCGCCAAACCGCTGCGCCACCCAGGGGTCCCCTCAATTATTTTTTTAAAGATTTTTTAGTTATTTATTCTAGGGAGAAAGAGAGTAAGCATGAGTAGGGGGAGGAGCAGAAGGGGAAGCAGACTTCCCGTTGTGCAGGGAGCCCAATGCAGGGCTTGATCCCAAGACTCCAGAATCATGACCTGAGCTGAAGGCAGATACTTAACTGCCTGAGCCACCCACGCGCCCCTCAAATAAGTAAAATCTTAAAAAAAAAAATGTGAGAGATACCTGGGTGGCTTAGTAGTTGAGCATCTGCCTTTGGCTCAGGTTGTGACCCTGGAGCTCTGAGATCGAGTTCTACATCAGGTTTACCACAGGGAGGCTGCTTCTTCTGCCTATGTCTCTGCCTACCTCTCATGAATAAATAAAATCTTTTAAAAAATAGAAATTTAGGGATCCCTGGGTGGCTCAGTGGTTTAGTGCCTGCCTTTGGCCCAGGGTGTGATCCTGGAGTCCTGGGATTGAGTCCCACATCGGGCTCCCTGCATGGAGCCTGCTTCTCCCTCTGCTTGTGTTTCTGCCTCTCTCTGTGTGTGCCGCTCATGAATAAATAAATAAAATCTTTAAAAAAAACATAAATTTAAAAAAATGTGGTAACAAGGGCGCCTGGGCGATACAGCTGGTTAAGTGTCCGACTCTTGGTTTTGGCTTTTCTCCTTCTCCCTCTGCCCCTCCCACTTGTGCTCTCTCTTGCTTAAAAAAAAAAAAATCTTTAAAAAAAGATTTGTTAAAAAAATACGGTGACAGCAGGCAAAAAATGGAAACAGCCTAATTGTCCACTGATGGATGAGCAGATAAATAAAATATGGTATATCCACATAATGGAATACTATCCAGGTTCTACAAGGAATGAAATCTTGTATATGCTAAAACATGGATAAACCCTGAAAACATTATGCTAAGTGAAATAAGCCAGACACAAAAGAACAAACACTATAATTCCACTTACATGAAGTATCTACAACAGTCAAATCATGAAGAAAAAAGACTAGTGGTTAGCAGGGGCTAGGTAGTGGGGGATATGGAGAGTTCTTGTTTAATGGGTACAATTTCCATCTGAAATTATGAAAAAGTTCTGGAGATGGATAGAGTGATGTTTGCACAATAAAATAAATTATTTAATGCTACTGAACCATATGGTTAAAATATATTTTATGGGGGATCCCTGGGTGGCTCAGTGGTTTAGTGCCTGCCTTTGGCCCAGGGCGTGATCCTGGAGTCCCGCATCAGGCTCCCTGCATGAAGCCTGCTTCTCCCTCTGCCCGTGTCTCTGCCTCTCTCTCTCTCTATCATGAATAAATAAATAAAATCTTAAAAAATATATATATATATATATATAATGTCACATACAGTTTTTTGGCTTATTTATATATATTTTTAATGTATTTTTTAAATTTTATTTATTCATGAGAGACAGAGACAGAGAGAGAGAGAGAGGCAGAGACATAGGCAGAGGGAGAAGCAGGCTCCATGCAAGGAGCCCGATGTGGGACTCGATCCCGGATCTCCAGGATCACACCCTGGGCAGAAGGCGGCACTAAACCGCTGCGCCACCGGGGCTGCCCTTATTTATATTTTTGATGGAGAATGTGGGCAGTGACCTGAAAAAGGTAGTTTTTACTTATTTTTAGTTTTTAAATAATCTCTACACCCAAGATGGGGCTTGAAATCACGACCCCGCGAATCATATGATCCACTGACAAAGCCAGCCAAGTGCCCCATATGTTATATACATTTACTCACACACACACACACACACACACACACACACACACACACAGGATGAGACAGTAGGTTAGTGGTTGTTGCCTAGGGCTGCGGGGCAGGGGATGGAGGGAGTGAGGGTAATGCTAAGGGGTGCAGAGGTATCTTTAGATCTTTAATCTTCATCTTTAAGAAGATGAAATAATTCTAAAATAAATTGTGATGGTTATATAACACTATATTTAATAAAAGCCATTGACTTGTATATTTTAAATGCGTGACTTGAATGGCATTTGAATTAGATCTCAATAAAGCTGTTAAAAATACTTGGTGATGAAACTAATGAAACATGCATCAACTAGACTTCAGTTAAAAAAAAAAAAAAAAACTTGGTGAATTGAATTTCCTGAGGCTTTTACCTGTGATTGGGCAACTGCCTCTAAAGAAAACTCTTAGAAGGCAGAGCTCCCACAGTCAGAAGCCACCTCCTGGAAAGGAGACCAAAATTTTCCCTCCCCTTTTTACCACCAGCTAGCTGTCACTATGCAGGAAGTGACAGTGAACAAGGGGTGGCCTCATCTAACCCACAATTTTGGGTCCTCCCTCTGAATGCCTCCCTCCTCACCAGCCCCTCTTGGTCAAAATATTCAGTTAAAGGAAGTCTAAGAGCCAATCCCTGGGAAGACTTTTCTCAAAATGCTCCTGTCACCCATATTCTATTCCCAGGGGGCAGAGTGACTTACAATCTGATTTGCCCTGTGGACAAAGCGCTGGCAATCCATAGTAGGTCCAGAGCTTTGAAGGGCACCAACACAAAGCTGACGTTGGCAGGCAGGTTCTTGGCACTCTCGGGGTACATGAAATGGTGGGTAGTTCGGCTGCCAACATCCTGCTCAAAGCCCACAGTTGGCGCCTGATTCATCCTGCAGGGACAAGGGGGTGACATGAGAAAAAGTCTAGCCATGAAAACTGGTACAAGATTTTTAGAGGACAATTTGGTGCTAGCCATCAAAAATGTGAATGAATGGGTGGGGGATCCCTGGGTGGCTCAGCGGTTAAGCACCTGCCTTCGGCCCAGGGCGTAATCCTGGAGTCCCAGGATTGAGTCCTGCATTGGACTCCCTACATGGAGCTTCTTTCTCCCTCTGCCTGTGTCTCTGCCTCTCTCTCTCTCTGTGTCTCTCATGAATAAATAAATAAAATCTTTTTTAAAAAATATGAATGGGTGTACACTTTGACCCAGTAATTCTATTTATAGATATCCTACAAAAATGGTTGCATAAATCTGCAAAGACATATACAAAGATATTCAGTGCATTATTTTTTACAGTAGTGAAAAAGAGAATCAATTTAACAATAAAGAACTGGTCAGTGCATTTTGGCACACTCACATATGGAATACCATGTAGCCATGAGAATGAATGAACCAGATTTATATGTGCTAATAAGAAATAAGTCCAGTGAAAAAAACAAGTAGCGTGAGGTATCCATCCCCCTCTTTCCTTTTCATACATATCTTTTGAATACTACTATGTGCTGCAGAGGGAGTTAACAACTCACAAAAGGAAAACTTAAAAGTAGACAGTGTGAAACCATTTTGTGTAAAAATAGAAAAAGAGGCAGAAAGAGAGAAAGGAGGAGGAAAGAAAAACATACTTTTATATATGAATATAACAAAACCTGGAAGAGTACTAAAATTGGTAAAAAAAAAAAAAAAAGGTTACTCTTGGGAAATGGGATGGGGAAGAGTAATTCATCTTTTAGTGTATACATTTCTGGACTTTTCCCCCCCAAGAACAGGCACATATTTAACTTTTTTTTTTTTTTTTTTTTTTTAAAGAAAAGAACAGTCTTCTACAGCTTCAACCTTACCTGGCTGTTCTGTTTTCTTTCCTAGAAGACAGTAGAAGTGCATAAGAAGCTGAAGTGTTCCTGGGCCAGATGGCAGCCTCTATGCCGCCAGCACCAGCCCCTCCACCCCTGTATTTCAGCTTCTAGCTGCCTTTCTGTCCAAGGCCAAGAGGGATGCTCCGAATTCTGGCAGTACCCACTTTGGCTGTCCCCTGGTGATGTGCAGTGTGGATCTGTTTCTCCCACACTGCCATGGAAGAACTCAGAAACCCAGAGCAGGCTTGCCACCCTCCTGGGTACAATAAGCCAAGAAGGCTTTTACTTCCTTTCAACCAGTGCAAAACACAGGATCAATAAAATCAAAGCTCCCTCTTTTGGCGAGCATCTTCAAAACAGGTGATCCAGCTTTGAACACAAACATGTTGGTCTTTTCTGCTGTGACTGTTTATGAGAACATTCCTGTCTTGTGTGAACCACTTTGCAGAATCATGACTACCCAGGGAGGTGACCATAACCTTGCCTTCCAGTGGGGAAAAAGGGACCCGGGAGAGAGGAAACAAAGTCTCCATGTGCTTTCCCTGCTTTTTATGCCTATTATGTAAAACCAGTATGAACATTACCTGTCCTTAAAATGGCTGGCACCACTTAGCTGGGCTGAATGAAGACCAGTCACTGGGGCTCCCACAATGCCTTCCTCCTGCTCCTCTCCCATTGGTAGCACGACATAGTAAAAGCATGTCCAGGGTACTCCACCACTGCTGGTCATATTGCTGTACCTCCTACCTCTCTGGTTCCCTTACCTTCAAGAACTGGAGAGTGTTGGGGCTGGGAAGCCATAACTGAGAGGTGGCCTGATTTGGAACCATATAGTGAGTTTTTGTTCTTGGCCATTTCAATTCTAGTCTGGTTCAAGCAGATGCCTCGAATCTTCTCTGTAGGACCAACTATACTCTATTTCATTAGGTTAACTGAACTGCCCTCTGCCTCCTGTCTGGGTGCCCCTCTGTTCTCCTGGTCTTTAGAGTTCAGAGATTTTGTCTCTTAAAATAGCCTAGAAGTAGCTTTCCCCATGCATTAATGACAGTTTGCTGGGGCTACTATGGCTCTACATTCAGCACTAGTGTCCTACGTCACCACAGCCAGAGTCTGGATCTGCTTTCTGCCACATCAGCCCTGGGGTCTGTGAGAAACAGAGCAGTTTGGAGAGAAAGCCTTAAAAGGGATGGTGTTTCTCAGCTACCTGGTATATGTAAGGGGATAGCAGGAGTTGGAACACCTGAGTTGGTGTTGGTGATACTCAAGTAGGCTGGGGTCTGGACTGGGAGGGAGCTGGGGTCAAGGTTCACACTGGTGAGTACCTAAGAAACAAACCTCATTTCACCTGACATGGAGAGGCCAAACTGGTCCCACAGATCAAATGTCTACAAGTACCCCAGGTTGGCCTCTGAAGACAATCCACCTCCCTCATCTGCCTTTTCCACTGCATCTGCAGCCACAGTTGTGACAAAGTCCCTTCTTAGACCTTCCACCTTCCTTGGATCCCTCCCACTTGTTGGGCAGGCACCAGATTTCAAAAGTCTAGGGATGAATGGAGAAAGAAGTCCAAAAAGATGTTTCAGAGCCTCCAAGGTAGAGGGTAGGAACAGGGCATGCTTTTGAGGACAGGATATTGCATTAAGGCTCTGATTTATTCTGGAGAAGTCAAGCCCTGGAAAGGGGCCAGAGCAGGATGGAGGATGAACTACATCTCCATGACTCAGGAGAAAAACATTCTAGGATTCTATCTGTTCCTGGTTGCCTCCACCCACCAAAGCACCTGAGAGCAAAGGCACAGGAAGGGTGGATGTGGATTCATGCTTAGGGTTTGATATTTGGTCACCTAGTCTCTTTGATTCATTCACATATTTATGGTGAGCCTACAATCTGCCAAGCACTTGTTTTAGGAGTTGTGGATCTATCTGCTGGCTGGCTGAGGCAGGACCAGCTCAACTTCATTTGGAATTGCTAGCAGGGCTCAGAAGACATAGAGGAGGAGGAGGAAGTTGGGGAGTGGCGTAGGCAAATATGGGTACAGCTATCATCTCACTGTAACTCAGCTCAGTGGGGTTTTATGTTGGTCCTGCTTCCAGGGAGCAGGGAGGTCTCCCCACTGGTTCCAAATCAAGACATGCCTATAAGCAAAGAATCACCTCCAGTACCATCTAGCTCTTTGTACAGATCAGCAAAAAAAAACAATTCAATCTGGGTAAGCCCTTCCACAAAACATAAATCAGGTACTATCCAGATGTCATAGTAGCCAAGCTTTTTTTGTCTGCTTCCACCCTGGAGCTTCTCAACCATCACCTACATGCATAATGAAAGCATCTACTTGGTACAGGTGGCAGGGCATGGATGGCAGGAGCTTCAGGCACTCAAGAGCATTTCCCTGGGCTTCTGGAATGTCCCAGGGCTGCACAGAAGTGATGAACGTCTCATTTCCCACTTTGGCCACTGTGTCTGGATGGAGAGAGCTCCTTCTCCAGCAACCAGCTTGCCTCCCTCACATTCTGAAAGCCAGCAACTGGGCGGGGGGTGGAGGTGGGGTGGGGAGGGAAGACTCTCAGGTGGCTCTGGGTTCCTGGATGGGGCCTAGCATCCCTCCTCTCCCCCACCCCTTACCATTCTCAACATGAAAAAGGTTTTTGCAAGGAACGGGTGAAAAGCCTCAGAGACATACGGCTGCCTTGGTGTTGCCATGGAAACAGCAACAGTTTCTAAGACAAAGCCCTTCCTCCTGCCTCCTGGGGAACCTGGTCTTTCTGCAATGCTCATCCTAAGAGACGGTTAGTGAAAACTGGGCGTTTTCAGCATCTTTACTCTTAAGGCTCTTCTTCCACCAAGGAGTGGGATGGAAGGATGCCCACTTTGGCATTTCCTGTCCCCAAGTCTAGGGAGGAAGTAAGAAAACACAGGTTCAGGAGCAGAATGTGCAGCTCATGTTCACCTAGGGACGCCTGGATAGCTCAGTTAGTTAAGCATCCCACTCTTGATCTCCGCTCAGGTCTTAATCTCAGAGTGGTGAATTCAAGCCTGTGTTGGACTCCATGCTAGGTGTGGTGCCTACTTAAGAAAACAAAACAAAACCAAGTCAAACATCTAGTCTCCAGGGATCCCTGGGTGGCTCAGTGGTTTAGCGCCTGCCTTCGGCCCAGGGCATGATCCTGGAGTCCCGGGATCGAGTCCCATGTCGGGCTCCCTGCGTGGAGCCTGCTTCTCCCTCCGCCTCTGTCTCTGTCTGTCTCTCTGTGTGTCTCTCATAAATAAATAAATAAATAAAATCTTTTTTTTTTTTTTTTTATTTATGATAGTCACAGAGAGAGAGGCAGAGACACAGGCAGAGGGAGAAGCAGGCTCCATGCACCGGAAGCCCGACGTGGGACTCGATCCCGGGTCTCCAGGATCGCGCCCCGGGCCAAAGGCAGGCGCCAAACCGCTGCGCCACCCAGGGATCCCAAATAAATAAAATCTTAAAAAAAGAAATCTAGTCCCCGCTCACCTCCAGGCTCATAGCTCTGTCTTTGTCTGAAATGAACGCCCTCCTAACTCCTCTGCTTCCCTCAGGCTGGGTACAGATGTCCATTAAATGAATTTGCCCCCACACAATCTAAGCCTTATGAAATAAAGGTAGGAGACAGCAGCCCAGAGCAAGCTCTGCCCAGTACCTCTGCCTTCTCTGAGTCTGCCAGAAGGAAACATCTGTGGTTATTAAGCAAGACACTAGTGTGGGGCTCTCACTCCCGGCCCAGCACTGAGGGGACACAGCAGGTGAAAGGACCGCTGCTGGGACTTTTCACCAGAAAACACCAGAAGTCTACTCCCAGCCCTTTTAGGAGGAGTTCAGAGCTAGAAACTGAGTGCTGGCCTCAAGCAAGAATGGAGTACAAATTCTGGCTCCCCATCTACCCAACAAATAGCCTGAAACTCGGGCCTTTATCGAAGGTTCTGGTATCCAAGAACAACTCCAAATCCAAGCGGCAACTCCTCCACTGCCAGACAAGACTAAGGAGGCCAGTCCCTCCCTCTGGAGGCCTGTCCTGGGCCCGTCCCTGCGGCTCCCCAGGGCTCACCTCATGATGAAGTTATGCCCATCCACATCTGGGCCGTAGCCAGAGCCCCGCAGGTTGCCTGAGTTCCCCACTACCGCACAGCGCCGGCACTGGTGGGGGTCCCGGAAACGGTAGGGGTTCTCGCCTGGTACTATCTGGAACAGCTTCTCCAGTACCTCGTTGGTGTTGTGTGACTTGAACTGGGGCTGCAGCATCTGTGGACGTGAGGGGAGAAGGAAGGAGGGGGGATTATGCAAACAGGGAGTTATTCCTGCCTGCTGCCCTCACCGTCCAGTCTCAGTCAGAGAGAGCAATTCTCTCTGAACAGTTGAGGATGTTCCCCTTTTCAACAATGGTACAACGTCCCCTTCAAGACTGGTGCCCTGCTCATCAGGAGTACTCTAATGAACTGGAGGGACTCAGGGGTCAAGTGGTTCTACAAAGCAAAGAAACTTCTGGGCTTGTCAAGCCTCCAGAGGCCCCTGCTCTGCTGTACTCTCAGGGGAGCTATGAGTCAGTCATTTTGAGGTGCAGTTAGCAGAGAAAACCCTGTGAAGTTCAGGGGCTCATTCCTAACCAGCCTACAGAGGGCGCCGCTGGGACTCAGCCTGAGGGCCCAGAGCCTCATCTGAGGCAATATCCAGGGATAACTGGAGACACCCCCTGAGCCCTGGAGGACAGGAGGAGGGAAGGCAGTGAAATATAGGAATTCTTTCAAAGTCAGAATGGCTGGAATCAAACTGGTTCCCTGCTCTTCCCACCACCAGTGACCGCAAAAGACTGTGACAGGAAGCTGGGGCTGCCCTCAAATGCCTACGTGCCAGGCAAGCAAAGCTCAGGAGTGAAGAGGCAGATGGGGCTTATGGCAAACAGGAGGCCTCCTCAAAAACAAGTGACATCAGCCAATGTTGCCATGTGGTATTGTGAGCCCAAAAGGACCAAATTTTCCAGTTTTTTGAGAAGCTGAAAATATAGATTTCATGTGAAATATCCTGATTTCTAAGTGTTGGTAACTATTACAAATATTTTTTAAATATTTACAAGGGCGCCTGGGTGGCTCAGGTGGTTGAGCAGCCAACTCTTGATTTCGGCTAAGGTTGTAATCTCAGGGTCCTGGGATCAAGCCCCACATTGGGCTCTGTGCTTAGCACAGAATCTACTCCAGATTCTCTCTCTTCTCTCCCTCTACCCCACCCCTGTTTGAATGTTCTTTCTCTCTAAATAAAGAAAATATTTTAAAAAAATTTTTTGGGCGGCAGCCTGGTGGCTCAGCAGTTTAGCGCCGCCTTCAGCCTGGTGCCTGATCCTGGGGACCCGGGATCAAGTCCCACATCGGGCTCCCTGCATGAAGCCTGTTTCTCCCTCTGCCTGTGTCTCTGCCTCCCCCCACTCTCATGAATAAATAAATAAAATCTTAAAAAAAATTTTTTTAATTAAAAAAAATTGAACAAACTGGACTTGATCCACAAGCCACAGATCAGTAAGGTAGAAACTAGGGTGTTAAAATGATCTGTGGGGGGTGTCTGGGTGGCTCAGTCAGTTAAGCATCTGACTCTTGGTTTCTGCTCAGGTTGTGATCTCAGATTTGTGAGGCTGAGCCCTATGTTGGGCCTGCAATGGGCATGGAGTCAGCTTGAGGGTTCTCTTTTCCCCTCTGCCCCTCCCCGCTTCCTCTCTTAAAAAAAAAAAGGCATAAAAAGCTCTGTATTCTGAGCCATAACACAAGGATTATAACTAAGCAGGAGCTGATCAGGGGATACCATAAATGAAGGAGACCACATAGGCCTGCTTCTCTGCCTCTCTTCTGCACACAAGAAAGGCCCCTAAGAACAAGAACACAAACTGAGTGTGGAAGGGAAGCTTAGCTCTGACACAGGAATTTCTAAGTTCATAGCAAAAGAGGGTGGCTGTGAGGAGTGAGAGCAGTGGTTTCTGCTGTGTCTTGGCCAAGGAACATGCTTGGTGCTTAAACTGCCCTGAGTTCCATTCCTACGGGAAGAAGGAGGCTTGGCCTATCCATAGGTCTACGTCTGCCTAGAGTCCTGTTCTGCTCTTGATGACCACTACAGAGACCCATAACCTTGGGCAAGCCCTGTGCACAATCTGAACCATGATTTTCCCCACAAAATGAAGGCTGTGACTATGATTAACAAGCAGAACCCTTCAAAAGCTCCAGGCTGTTACAGGATTGGCCTGTGGGGCTCCTGATGATCCTTGCTCTGTAGATCTCCCCATTCTTAGGGACTTAGACAGTCTGGGTCAGGAAGTGGGATCTGTAAATTATTCTGATAAGCCTGATCACAGGAGCTCATCCTTATTGCTTCTCTGAATGTGAGAAACAGGGGAGTCATCATCCTCCCCATATGCCAGCTGGGGAAACCAGGAGCCATGAGCTGCTTCCCAAGGCCGCCAGTGGGGAATGTAGGTAGCCTCTGGGCCCCTGGGCTAAGTACCAATGTTGTTCTACCTGACATGACTGGCAACCAGATGGCCTTGGCAGAGCCTGGGGTGTGATACTCCAGAGATGACAGGGATGGAAGGCCAGTTAAAAGCAGCTGAAAGGGGACAGGATCCAAAAGGGCAGGGAGCCTTGAACACACCTGTCCCGTCATCCCCTCCCCTTCATTTCCCTTATCACCCATAGGAATTGACAATGTTTTCTTATCCTGACCCGGAAGAAAGTCTTTACCAGCAATTGTAAAAAGTCAAATAAGTGGCCCTCATGGTGTTTAAAATTATTGTGAGCCAACGTTTACAAATTAGGATAGTACACAAAAAACTGTGGACTTCTAGGTTCTCTTAAAGGGTCAGAAGACCCAGCAATGATAGGTCACATCCCTGAAAGAGCACCAGTTGCTGCAGCAGAGTGGCTCCCTTCTTTATAAAGGGCAGACCGACCTTTTCCCTGCCATAGTCCTTACCTTTCACCATCTTCCTCCTTGGGGCCTATTTCTCCTAGTTACCTCCCTGGCTACTAGGTATTTCTGGTCTCCTTGACCCTACAGACACTAGAAAACAGTTCTCTCCTTCCAGGCCAAAGCTCATCCTGCCTTTCAGAATCTGTGACCCTAGTAGGTGGCTCTGGTCAAATGAACGTAATATTTTGTCAAGGCTCTGGGGGTCCAAATCCCAGCAGGGGCTTGAAGAATGACTCCCAAACAGGGGCCAGCAAAGGGGAGGCAGGAGGGGCTGCAGCTCTCACCATCCACCACCTCTGGACATCTGGAGGCAGATCCATATTCTCTCGGGTCCACACAGGGGAAATGTTGCTGTTGAAGTGGCTGTCAAACCAGTCAGAGGCGCCAGTGTCACCCATGCAGCGGCGGCAGGCACAGCTCTTACCGGTGAGCCCCTCCTTGCTGAGGCGCTGCAGACCAGCATAGCCAGGCACCAGCTTCACCCGGTGGGTACCACCCAGGGCCCCTGAGTCCAGGTAGGGCAAGGTGGCCATGCTGTGGTGGGAGTAGGTAAAGAGCAGTGACATGATGAACACCAGCAGGAAGGCCACAGAGAGGAACCACACCCGTAGGGAGCACTTCATGGTTTGGCGCCCCGGGGGGCTAGACCACCAGCCTGGTGGGCGGGTGGGTGTCACCGTGGCCACTCCCTTCCCAGCCCACTGACGGGCCAGCCACAGTGTAGCCTGCGTCTCCTGGCACCACGTGCAAAGGGCATAGGGGCACGTGCTGAGGAGGGAACAGAGGCAGGGGTCCCTTACCAAACCCTCCCTCAACGTAAGGAGAAAGCACAGTAGGCAGGAGTGGCTCTCCTGTCCCTGAGTCACTCAGGTGCCAGCTTATGGCTTCATCGGGTCTCTCTGTCACTAGCTGGGCCACAGAGGCTCTGACTCTCCTAATGCCCTGGTGAGGGGGAGGTCAGTCCATCCCAGCTCTCTAGTCCCTTGGAGCTGCTGGCTGCCAGCTCTGGGGGCCCCCCTCTTTGGTGGCTCGAAATGGTCCAGTCTGGAGCATTCGGGGTCCTTGTGGTTCATGAGCAGACACGGAGGCAGCCCCTCGTCCCCTGCAGTGGGGAAGCCCTCGAACCCCAATCACAGCAGAGAGCCCATGGGCTTCAAGTGGCGTGGATTCCATCCGAGAGTCGTCCCCACCTCAGCTGGCCCTCCTGGCCTACCCCCTCCGCGAGAGGAGGAAACAAGGCCCCAGTCCTGAGAGGAGAAACCCAAGAAGCTCCACGGGTGTCGGAAGACTCTGCTGCAGAGACCAAGATCCTCCTGGCAGCAGGTTCTGCCCTTCTGCTTCCCATTCGAGGTGTTGGTCCCTTCTCCTGATGGTCACAGCCCCAAATGTGGTTGCTGAGGCGTTTGCAGTCCTCCAGGGCCTGGGAACATCTGCTGCTCAGCAGGGACCTGCTTTGAATGCTGTCTGGGTCAGCTGAGCGTGTGCCGAGCTCCCTGCCAGGGCCTGGGCCTCCTTGGTGCCACTGGCCCAGCGTTGCAGGCAGGCTGCTCTGCCCATCCCCACTCCCCTGAGGCCTGCTGTCCTGCTGTTAGCTCGTGCTAGCAGTAATCCCCTGGCAGGTTCCCCCTCACTCGTCAGGCGCCAGGCTGCTGCAGCATGACCCTGAAATTGCAGAGAGAAAAAGTAATGTGCAGATAAATTGCGCACACACACACACACACACACATACACACGCTCTCCCCCAGCCCTGCCCCCACATCCCAGAGAGGACAAAGCCAGCAGCAGAGACGCCTATTTAACCAAAGGGTGGACGAAAGAAAGCGCTCTCCCCTTTACCCACCCATAGATAGCTCTCAGGGGCTACAGAGGAAAAGATTAGCCTGCTCTCTCACTTATTAGCCAGAAAGTAAACAAGGACATAAAATGACTTCCTTGGAGTCCATGGCAAATCACTGGCAGAACCAGGTTTAGAAAGTTCCTAGTGTAACTATGTAAGGTTAATTTCAGTTGAAACTGAAGAGAAAATGGTACAGAAGAAAGATCACAGGAGACTGAAGATATGGCTCCCCACCCTGGTGTTCTTTACCCTCTGAGTACCTGTGACAAGCTCTTCTGAGCAAGAGGTCACTGGGGGAGGACTGGGCCTCTGACCTGGGATTTGCCTTCTCCTCTCTTGAGTATGGGCTCTAGATGAGGCATTTCTGGGTTAGTTCAGTGAACCATTAACAATCCTTCCAACTCTAGTATCAGGGAGAGAACCTGTCAGGACACAGAAGTGCTGGGCTCAGTGCCCCCACCACACAGCCATCTGGACAGCTGCCTTCATCTATATGTTACAGATAAAATGAATGCCAGAGCCCCTGGGGCACGGACAATCTGAGGCCTTGTGCTGCCCTGGTGGGCAAGAACAGGGAGAAAAGCTAGCAGTTTGGGGATGGGCCCTGAGAAAAGGAGTCTGAATCCATGCCTTGTGCAAGGGAGCCTGGGTAAGAGTCAGGCACAAGGCTGAGAGTGGAGGCCCTGGGCCTTGGCTCCATGCCACGGGGATCACTTAAATCTGGCCACCTGCCTGTCCCTACCAGCTCTGCTTCAAATCCTGCTAGCCCTGGTTCTGACCAGTCCTGGGGCCTAGCAAGGCCCCTTGCTGACAGCTCAAGCTCCAGCCAGCCTTTCCAGAGTCCTCTGGCTGCTGCTCCTCTGAGACTTTGTGTTCAAGAACCTCAGCTGCCCCCTCCACACATGGCAGCTCAAATTTCTGGAGCCAAGCCAAACCACAAAGCCATCAGGGAATGGAACTAGCATGTTCCAATAAGGAAAACATTAACTGGGTGGGGAAATAATGTTCGCAGAAGTAAAGGAACTTGCCTAAGGTCACAATCTTGTGAGTAGAGGTGAGATCTGTGTCCAGGTCTATCTGGTTCCAAAGGCTGTGACTGGCCAGGGCACAGAAAAAGGCCTGTGAATTCTTTCAACTACCAAAGGGCTCTGGGACAAGTGACAAGGAGACATGGAAGCTTGTTCCCAAGGTCACGAGTAAAGCTTCCCTCTCACCCAGGACATCTGGCTCTAATTCCCAGGGGCTCCAGCAACACTGGCTCCAATGTACTTTACTTCCAATGTTTTGTTGCACCCATTTGGAAGGCCAGACTCCAAGGCATGGTCTTTTGCTGACTGTCTGTAAATAGGAAGCCAGGTCATTGTCCCTTCCCATTCTCCCTTTGCCCCTTTCCACACCCAACATTTAAGTGAAAGAATTTGAGGTTTTACAGGTGTTGCTCCCAACATCCTGGGGCCTGGGAGCACCAACCTTGAGGGGAGTGGCCCAGGGAGACATGACTTTCCAAGGGGCCTCTCCACAAAGACCTGGTTTCTGATGGAGAGCCCACTGTGGCCACTGAAAGCAGGGGCTGGGCAGAAGCCAGTACGAAGAGGTCTCCCCCGATGGGGAAGTCAGTAACTCTTTGGGATTCTAACTCAATAAAGGAAGCACCTGAGGTAACAGGCTGCTTTGTGGGGGAGAGGAAAAGCTCTAGCTTCAACAAGGTGTTTGGGAAGAGCAGAGAAGTGGAGTAACCAGGAAAGCCCTTGCTTTGTGAACTCCATGGCCAGGAGCCTGAGTGGCTCAACATGAATTGGGGGCAAAGACACAAGGAAGAACTGTTGCCGAGACCAAGAAACATCAGACCCTTAGACATGCACCTCAAACCCCAGAAGTCACCCAGTGCTGACCCTGTGAAGTGCTTTCATGCACCTTGTTTCCTCCAGTGGAATTCCTGTGCCCTCCAATTGCCCACTGCCTAATTCTGATTTCTCCCCTCACAGCTGCCCTGATCACTCACATTAAGCCCATTCATACACACATCAATATAAAAAAATTGAAGGGAGGACACGCACTCTGGTACCAAAAAGGGAATCAGATCAGGCTTCTGGTGCTACCTGGCTGCTGGGGAGTTGTTTGTTCATTCCACAGATACTTAATAGACCAGCGGTGGGCCACAGGGACAGTGTGGGACAGGACACACCCATCCTGTCCTCACAGAGCTTCTGTCTAGGTGCAAATACAAAGGGAAATTATAAAGACCCCTGAGAGAAAACAAAGAGTGCAAAAAGAATAAGAAGGAAGCAAGCCTGACCTGTTAAAACAGAGAACAAGAAGACCCATGAAGCAGGAGATGGTGGCGAGGGTGGCGGTGGTGGAGAGGAAAGCAAAGCCAGCCACAAAGAGCTTTGAAGGGATTAGGATTTATTATGAAGCTGATGGCAGGGTTTTTGTTTTGTTTTGTTTTGTTTGATGGCAGGGTTTTGAAGAGGGCTGTGTCATGACCTGATTTACATCTTAAAATGGAGGAATTTTTGTTTTAATTCCAGTATAGTTAATATACAGTGTTATACTAGTTTTGGGTGTACAAAATAGTGAGTCAACACTTCTATACATAACCCCATGGTCATCAGGGCAAGTGCCTTCCTTAATCCCCATCACCTGTTTCACACATCCCTCCACCCACCTCCCCTCTGGTAACCATCTGTTTGTTCTCTACAGCTAAGAGTCTGTTTCTTAGTTTGTCTTTTTTCTTTGCTCATTTATTTTGCTTTTTAAATTCCACATATGAGTGAGATCATGTGGTATTTGTCTTTCTCTGACTTATTTCACTTAGCATTATACTCTCTAGCTGTATCCACATTGTTGCAAATGGCAAGACTGCATGCTTTTTATGGGTGAATAATATTCCTTTTTGTGTGAATAATATTCCTATATATATATATATATATATATATATATATATATATATATCTCACATCTTTTGTATACATTCATCAGTGGATGCTTGGGCTGCTTCCATAATTTGCCTATTTTAAATAATGCTGTGATAAACATAGGAATGCTTGTATCCCTTTGAATAAATACACTATTTTATATTCTTTGGGTAAATACCTAGTAGTGTGATTGCTGGATCATAGGGTAGTTCTATTTTTAATCTTTTGAGGAATCTTCATACTGTTTTCCACAGTGGCTGCACCAGTTTGCATTTCTACCAAGGGCACGAGGGTTCCTTTTTCTCCACATCTTCGCCAACACTTGTTGTTTCTTGTGTTTTTGGTTGTAGCCATTCTGACAGGTGTGAGGGGATAACTCATTGTGGTTTTGATTAGCATTTCCCTGATGATGAGTGATGCTGATCATCTTTTCATGTATCTGTTGGCCATCTGGATGCCTTCTTTAGAGGAATGTCTGTTCATGTCTTCTGCCCATTTTTTAATTGAATTATTTGTTTTTTGGGTTTTGATTTGTATAAATTCTTTATATATTTTGGTACTAACCCCTTTATTGGATATGTTATTTACAAATACCTTTTCCTATTCCACAGGCTGCCTTTTAGTTTTGCTGATTGTTTCCTTCATTGTGCAGAAGCTTTTTATTTTGATATTGTCTCAATAGTTTTCTTTTAAAGATTTTATTTATTTATTTATTTATTTATTTATTTATTTATTTATTTATTTATGAGAGAAATAGAGAGAGAGAGAGGCAGAGGCAGAGACACAAGCAGGCTCCATGCCGGAAACCCGACATGGGACTCAATCCGGGGTCTCCAGGATCACACCTTGGGCTGAAGGCGGCGCTAAACCCCTGAGCCACCCAGGCTGCCTGCGTCCCAGTGGTTTATTTTTGCTTTTATTTCCCTTCCCTCAGGAGACATATATAGAAAAATGTTGCTATTGCCAATGTCACAGATATTACTTACTGCCTGTGCTCTCTTCTAGGACTTTTATGGGAAAATAAAAAAAAAATAACAGTACCCAGAGTTGGGAGAAGATATGGAGTATTAAGAACACTCACACCACTGTTGGGACAATAAATTGGTACAATGCTTTGGAAAATAATTTGGCATTACTTAATAAAGACAGACATAAGTATATCCCAGTGGTGTTTTATGCTTTTTAAAAGAGAAATTAAAAACCATCTTTCTCACAAAAGGCATAGTTGGGAATAGAATGTGAGAGTAGAAAGTTCCCCTTGCTGTCTGGGCTAATTTATTTTATGACTTCCTTTGTGTGGACATCCTCAGAGATTAATCCTCCTCAGATTTGGGTGTGGGAATGAATGGCTTTCTCACTGAAAGGCTGAATACTTAGAATCATTAACAAATCCAGTGAGTTCAGTCGGCTTGTAATTTTAAGCAGATTTAAAGCTTAAGGTGAACTCTGACAACAGGTTAAGTATAGGGTTTCATTTTTTCCCCTAAAATCTCACCCCCACTCAGGACAGTTTTTTTTCCACTGGAATTTAATTCACGTGTAATATAATGCAGATATCTTTCAATGTAAACTTGATGAATTTTTACCTATATGTACATCCGTAGAACCACCCATCAGAACACACAGAGCATCCCAATCACTGCAGAGTTAGTTCCCTTGTACTCCTTGCTAGTCAATATCCAGCAATCCACCACTTTTCTGAGTTTTGTCACCATACATTACATTCACTTGCCCTTAAAATTCATATAAACACTTATTATGTACACTCTTGTGTGTCTGGCTTCTTTTGTTCAGTGCAGTGTTTTGGAGACTCGTCTATATTGTATCTGTCTATAGTCTGTTCTTTTCCACATTTGGACATTTGGTTTGCTTCCAACTTGGAGTTGTTATGAATAAAATTGCCCTAAACTTCTTGTATAAGTCTTTTTGTGGACACTACTCTTATTTCTCTTGGGTAAATAACTGGGAGTGGAAATACTGGGTAGGTATATGCTAAACTTTACTAGAAATTACCAAATAGTTTTCCAAAAAAAAAAAAATAGTTTTCCAAAGTGATTTTAGCATCTTACATTTCCACCAGTAATGTACAACATGTTGTTCCATTTGTTCCATGTCTGTGAAATTTTCTATTTTTTAAAAGCTTAGGCCTTCCTAATAGGTATATAATCAACTCTAGTATTTCTACTACCAGGTACATATGGATATGTACACCAAGAGACATACGAGGATGTTCAATGGATAAGAGCTGAAAACTGCAGACAAAAAAAAATGAATGAACTCTAGTTTCAGACATCAATAGGGATGAATGTAACAAAAAAAACTATTATATTGAGCAAAAAAAGTAAGTCAAGGATAAACGTCAATAGTAGGAGTTCGCTCAGAAGTTAGAAAGCTTGCAAAGCTAAATGTATGCCTCCACATATAGAAGATAAAACAGTACATAAGATCAAAGAAGTGATGTAAAATTCAAGAAATTCCTCTGGAGGGACAGGATGGTAGATAAG